ATGGAACAGCCGTTGAGACGATTAGGGGTCAAGTGACGTAATGGTCAACGACCTTATTTTAAAGATGGCGACTGTGAGAGTGGGCCCGTTAGATTGAATGGATGAAGGAAAAAAGACTGCAAAATACCTGAATAACGTGAGTGAAATCATTCAATAAATGGTATTTAGAAAACGGAAAGGTCAGGAATCATGTTAGTGTGCAAAAGAAATTGCGCCCACGATTATAAGTCGGTGCGCCAAAAATTACGCATACAGATGTGTGGCTAAGGATAAATCGGGAGTGAGAGTCCGTGCCACACTAGTGGGGCTATCTACTGACTTGCTCTCCTGGTGTCTATTGGAGATGCTACAAGTGGTTATTTCCTTTTATCCAAGAACAAATCTCTTCTCAAAATCATTATTTTGCTCAGACTTCATATTTAGCCGAGGCATGCACAAAAAGCTTCTTTCAGTGCGGTCACATGGCCACCATGTACATGTAGAATCAACAATTGGACCGGTTGCTTGCAGGCTACATTTGGGCGGCGATGGCAATCAGATCTGCTTGAAAGCCGGGATTTGTTGAGGTGGTGGTCACAATTTGATTACAATGGCACTGGCAGCAATCACCTTCGTTTCCTCATGCAAAAAAAGTGCGGTTTGCAGAAATGACCAATAATTAAAGTCTCCACGTTCTTTTTCCACTCATTGTCAGTAATTTGTTGATAGTCTTTTGGATCGGCCCTTAAAAAACTTCCAGTGAAGCGGATTTAGCGGTGTGGCATTTCAAGTTACGGAAGTATTTTTGTACATAAAGGCCTATTTTTTTGGTTGGAATGAANGGGCCTAGGCCTCCTACCATCACCCGTAGAGTCAGACCATGTGCACAAACTTACAAAGTGTACGAGTCATAACAGAAAAGTTGAAGTACATGCATTTTCCAAGAAACTTGAATTGTTTTCACATTTAAATTAGTGTTTCTTTGTCAGAGTTACACTTCTTGGTAGAATTTAAGTTATGTCAAGTGGCTGGATATGGAACTCTTTTGAACATGTTGAATGCTTTGCATGTTCAGTGCTTTGCTGGAAAATTAAAAAACAATCGAGGACCAGTTCATGGTATATGCAAATATATTTCCCATCATGAATAAGGAAGGCTGTCTTCATTAATTCCCCCACTTGATAAAGTAAAAAGAAAAAAAGTAGAGTTCAAGCTGTAAAAAGCAGTCTTGATTCTAATCAATATTTCAAAACTGAGAATACTAGTCAATAGCCTGGGTACTCTCACTGTTAATACTTTCACTTTTCATTAAACCACAGTCATATGCCACACTAACTATTCTTAATATGACTGTGGTTATCCAGGAGGCATTATGCGAGGAAGTCCAGTACACACTCAAGAGGCTCATCAGAGGGTTGGCATCACCACGGAAAGGAGCCCGGCAGGGCTACGCTATGGCACTGGCCCAGGTGATCTATGAAAGTCCTCTTTTGAAGGATCGGGAGCATTGAGGACCAATGGTGGTCATTGTCCCATTCCAAAAATTTTGTTTATTTTTGAAAAATAATGCAAGAAAAGGGGTTTTGAGGGGACTAAAAGCATGTAAAAGCCCCAAAAATTTAGCCTCACCTCGCAGTAAGGCCACAGAAGGCTAAATAAAGAAATGTTACAACTTTGTTGTCCCACCCCCTCGTATTTGGCCCAGATAGAGTTCCGTATACGGATGCCAGTAATTATTCCCTACAGCGACCTATTAGCCATCAGAAAGCAAAAACATGGCCAGAAAATATCAATTTAGGATGGAAAATGCCATGTCGTTTGCTGAGAAAAAGAAAATTTCAGACCAGTCTCATAGGGCTTATGCACGGGGTGTCAAGTGGCGTTCCTATATGGAACTCTTTCCTTTTGGTCCACTCCTGAACCGGATTTTGGTATTGGATCATAAGGTTATGACTGAAATGGGTGTCCAGAGCTACAGCTAGGTCTATTTTCTGCGCATCTCTGCACATTTCAAATCTAGTGAAAACCTAGGGACCCAGCTCTAGGCAACAGATTCGGATGCAGCGTAAGTTGTTTGGTTTATCCTCCAGCTTTTGTTGACGCCCGTGATGCTCTTTTGTTGACCTGGCGACAAACCGGCTGGAGGAGATTTTGAGAAAGATTTATTTAGCCCCCAAAACAGCAAGATATGCCGATGTCCATTATTCTATACACATACTGAGGTTTTACCCAGTTTCAAGAGATGGCGTATCAGAAATATTGGAATATATGTATGTACAATTGTACACGTATACCTGCTTACCAAATAGTTACTCTCAACTTGACCCAAAAGGAGCATGGTAGCTTATTCTGAGGCACTCTCTTTTTAAATTAATGGGGAAAATGTTATACAATTCAGGAATAATGTGACATTTGTTGATCAGAAAGGTTCTTTCGTTACTTGTATCTCCAGCTCCTGGAGCACATAGAACAGATCACTCTTGGCGATGTCTTCAAACTCATCAAAGAACATCTCGAGACCAAAGGCCTTAAAAGCGTAAGAAAAGCCATTTTTTCGGTTGATTTAAACCACGATACATTTTATCCTCTTCAAGAATTGGTCCATTTGAATCATTTCCAAGGGCTGTCTTGTCTTTTTTTTTTTAAAAGAACCACTGAACCAATACCTGTTCTTGATTTTGGAGGCAGATTTTGGAACATGATGTTCTTAGGTTTTCAATTTTCAGTAACTGCCCAAAGTGTCTTTTCAAAGTGTCCTGTCAAAGGGGATCTTGTGAATGGCAGGGTGATTTAGGATCACCAGGGATGTAAAAAGAATGAGAGAAGAGTTTCCAAGTAAGAAGATGTTAGTCACTTCAGGGATCACCAGCTTTGCCCAGGGATGGGTTTGATTCTCTCCAAGGATGAAATCTCCCCCGCTCTCCCCCGAGTCAAGACTTATTTGTCAGTGTAATAAAATGTCTTTGGGGGGGTTGAGGCGATTCCTGGTTTTGGAACACTATTTTTGAAGAGGAGTTTAGACTGAGAACCAGTGTCCAAGCATGGAGTATTGTTGCTGTTGTTCCCACATGTATAGTCTCACAGAATTGGGAAGTGCTATCCACTGAGTGTGAAGCATCTGCTGTCTTTCTTTTTTTTTTTCAGGAGGAGAAGCAATGTTTGTTTGGGAAAGCCTTCGCCTACCTTTCCATCATCCAGTCGGGGAAGTTGCAAAAGGTCAGTCCATCCTGGAAGTGTGGCTCAGTCTCTTTGATATTTGTCTGCATCCCAACCATACTCTTTTCCAACTTCCTCAGTGTATCCCCAACCCCTCTGAGAGTTTTTCCTGTGCTTTCTTTCCACATGAAATCCCTAGATATTGCCCGATTCAAGGTGTTTTCCTCCAACTTTGTTTTATCAGGAGGACGGTCGCTTCTCTGCCGAGGTGATCAGGCAGCTTCAGAACCTGTGCGTGCAGAAGGGCTTCCTGGAAGACATCTGCTTTAGAGCTGTAATCGACCTCATATCACGGGTAAGCCTTGTATCTCAGTAAGCATTGTGACGTTATAACGAATACTCTCTGAGTGCCAGCCCAGGTCTCTGTCCTGCAGGGGGGTTGAGAAATAGGCTGCTGAATTACATGGGGCAGTGAAAGCCCAGAAGATGACCCTGAGAAAGGCATGTTATTGTCTTCAAAATTGCTTACTCCTAATTTTCAGTTATCCAAAACAGCAAATATTGAACCCGTTATTAACTTCAAACTTCTTGAGTAATCATTCAAGGAACTGAACTGTATTGCAATGTGACTGCAGCTGTATAGCTAATCTCTTCGTACCTAAAGCCGCGAACTCATCAATCACTCATTTTACTTACCAACAGAAAGTAAAAGACTCCAGATAATCAGATTCTTGTACCAACTAATCTTGAGGGGTAAAAGTTATTGGCAAGTAGATGTACTCACCAACTATCCAAGCACTTCTGATTCAAAGTTTAGTCAAAAGTTTAGTCAAAGTCAGAAGTTTTCTTTCTTAAACTTACTTTCATATGCCGTTAGTGGTTTTCTTGATGTATTCTTCTACTAGACAGACTAATGGTCGGATTTAAAACAAGTATTTCGAAAGTGCCTAGCTTCGACTCTGGCCCTGACCCATCAAACAGCCCATTCGAGTATTACAAATTTGTCACTTTGCCTCTGTAGAGTAAATTGGTGGCATTTGAAGAGGACATCTGGCCGACGCTGCAGCGGGAACTGAGGCAGGGCTGGGGGTCCTGCAATCCCTACACGCTAGCCATGCTGGCTGCTTGCAAACGCACCTTCCCTGTAAGTGTAACGCCGGGTGCAAGTGATATCCAATGCAGTCGCGGCTGTACTCAACTTTGTGACGATGTCGTTTCTTTTAAATGTCCATGGGCTGTGCACGTATGTAGTTTTTGACCCAGTCTGTTCATGACTGCCAACCACCAGTGACTATCGACTGCGCTGAGCCAATTATGTACAAAGTAAGCAGGGTTCACACTATAAGACTTGTGGAAATGGCATAAAAGGATGCACTTATTATGGTTCAGTCCATTTCGTGAAATCTCTTTAGTGCAGGAAATCAACTTCAGTGTTGGTGTTTAAGGTCAGTTTTCACACTGACCGTTGAAAGTACTTCACTTCTTCACTGTCAGAATAAAATTAAAACTGATATTGTAGACAGTGCACCAAGTGTTGGCGTTCTTGTCCTTACAGAGTATTGTAGACAAGAAGTTCATGCAGAAGCATTGGGAACATGCCGACCTGTTGGATGCAAGCAACCTGCCTTATATAGCAAGGATCATAGCTGTGAGTATTTGAAGCCAGGGAACCAGACCTGATCTTAGACTTACTGAAATCTTTCAAAATCCAGCTCCTGGATTTTTTCTTGTCTTTTTACATAGTATGTCATGTCATCTCTAGTTATTTCATTTTCCATTGTTTTGTGATGGACTGTGAGTTTTTCTCTCTTTGACACTCCTAGTTCGAGATGTTAAACTCAGAGACTTCATTCAAATATATTTTATTTTGGAAAATAGTTTCTAAGAATCTTTTTTGGTTATTACTTTGAACAGAATTCTACTACCACTTCCCACCCTCATCCTCATGCTGTCTGTGACATTCTGTTGTCGTGGGTGTTGGAAAAGAGGGAGAAATTGCCCATATTCTGGAATAAAGTGGTTGACGGTAAGTCAGAAATTCTCCAACATCAGTGTTTTTGACTGACTGTACACAAAACCCACGCTAACTCCCTTTGAAACTATCAACCCAGAGCCCAGGGGTACTGTAAAAGTGATGTAAGAGGGTCCTCTATCAAAAGTAAGGTTTCACATCTCGTTCACTGAAATTCTTCACTTTAGGATTTTCAACAGAATGTACATAAACCTGGTGTTATAATTGAGTATGGAGTGTGTATTGTCATTTTCAAGTCACTGCTCATCGGAACAATGGACAAAGCAGGTCCAATTTGGCCTCTTTCGTGCCTTTTTTTTTAGTAGCAACAGAATTTGGTACCAGTCTTGGACTTTGGGAGGAAAATGATGTCATTTGGAAGGAGTGTAGTGGATAACAGCGGTATTATACCAGGCAGGAATGGGACAGAGGGGTACCCCCAACAAGTCCAATCCCTATACACACTCCAGCCAATTGTCACTTAACACATCCCCCCTAGATGTCTGAAAAGGATTCCTGAGATACCAGTATAACAACGACCAACACTACGTCGCATAGTTTGCTTCATATGAGTGGTATTGTGCATTACCAGGGATGGTTTGATGTTTCCGCATCTTCATCAAAGTTTTTTTTACCTTGCCGCATTTGTTTGGCTTCCCTTAACTTGTCAAGAGTCACCCACCCCCCCAACAATGAGTCAAGACACTAAAGGAACTCTGTAATCAATAAAGGGCTCTTATGACAATCTTATGCAGTGTAATGGGCTAGTCCAGCACACATCGTCTGGTGGTCATCAGGCTGGATGTCAAATCAAAGTATCTTTCAAACTGGACAATACGATCTTTCTAATGCACTCTGGAAATGATTGAATGGAAGATTTCCTTAATTGTCCCTAGTCCAATTGTCTGTCTATAGGCTGTTCTCTACAAGCCCTCGCTTATATGAACAGGTCCATACTTTCTATTTTTTAAAGTTTTCTCTATTTTCTCTTATATTTTATTGTATTCATGACTCGTATTTATTTTACGTGTACTCTTAATTCTATTTTAATGAAAGTATGGAAATAAATGTTGTTTTTGAATTTGAATTGGAAGATTCATTTTGTGGGAGCCGGTCATATATATATATCTCCTGGGCAACAAGTATCATTCATTCCTTTGCGCATCTCAATGCCCGCAGGTCACCTCTGCACCAGCACGCAGGACGAGTGCGTCTTCCTCGCCTTCCGCTTGCTGGAGGCGGTCCTCCCTGCGTGCAGCACTGCTGAGATACCCAGGGTCTTGTCCAAGAACCTGTTGCGGAGCTTCATTAGCAGCTTGGCCAACCGGCAGGCTGGGCTGTACGCGGCCGCCAACAAACTGGTAAGGGTTGTAAATCACCACAGCTCCCAGATGCTTCAGAAGTCTGGCAGGTTTTGGAGGATTTTGCAGGATTGAGGAAGATAGGGTCTGGCTATTATTACTTTACATGGAGATTGATGCTAGATTGTAGAACGAGAATTGTACTTGAAACTTGACTGTGAAATGTGGCCGTTGAACACGTCGACCCTTACTTTCCCAGAGCCTTTAAAATTCATCACGAGGGATTTTGGACAGGCTTAGGAAAGTGGAGCTCAGTTATTGTTATTCACATGGGACTTACTGCTGCTGAAAAGTTTAAGCACAAAGATTGTGCCGTTTGTTTTCTGTTCTGGGAAGGAAATCAGAGAAGTTGGGGAGTTACGAGTGACATACATGAAATAAAAGGTTAATAATCTGAATAAAAGTGAATGATTTGAGACCTTTTGGGTATGAGAATTTTTCAATTTTTTTTAATCAGCAACTTGGCTGACTGTACTTCAAGCTGTGTTACCTCTGCTTATTGGTTTGGCAAGCAGAGTACCGAGCGATTTTATTCATAAAGCAAAAACTGAGCTGATCACCAGACACAAGCAATAGATATTGAGTGGAATATGGGTTGGTAACCAGTTTTTGCTAAGCAAATGTGATCCAAACTTAGGAGCTACATGAGGCTGGCCACTGATATCAACAGCTAATTTAAAGTCAACTTCGGAAATGTAAAATACAAAAGCTTCTTCAAACTGGAATACCACAGTGACCCAAGATACACACTTTGCCTTGGAGAAAAAGTCTGCAAGGATCACACTGTTGGGCCCTCTAGATTATTAGATCTGATTCAAAGTTAGCAGACCAGTCACTTTGGTGAGCTGCAAAGCAAATGCGAGCCTACGTAACTCTGATTTCTGTCTTCTGTCCATCGGGACGTCTGTCCGTCGGGACGTCTGTCCGTCTGGCCTCCTCAAATGTTAACATTTTTCCTTGTATTTATATAGGTTAAAATGTGCCATTGAGTGCTTGTTTGCTTCCTCTTGGAATTCTGTCAGCATTTAAATAGTCTCATATGGCATTAATGCTTAGAAACTTATGAATTTAATGAAAAAATTATAAAAGTTGAATGTTAACGTTTGAGTTGTATTGTGTACTTACCCCGTAGTACATACATACATATATACATGTACACTGTACACGTATGTACCTACATGTATTCATACTGTATGTACTGAGCACTCCTGTAATGTACATGTATGTATAGACATTGGTTGGATGCATCCAAATGTAGATGTACAGTATGTGGGAATAATGTAAGGGATGGGGGGGGGACTCCAAGTGACAGATTAGGATATTGGTTGGGGGAGGGGTACCTGTAGGAGGAGGATCATGGGGACAAGGTACATGTATGTAGAAAGTGGATGAAATGCTGGATGAAGTTGGCGTAATGGTTGGGCTAGATTTGTAGGATGATGGGACAGCCAGAGCAAGAAGTGAAAGGAATGATGGGGAGGGGACGGAGTAGGAATTGATAGGATGATGGGGAGGGGGCAGAGTAGGAAATGGATAGGATGATGGGGAGGGGGCAGAGTAGGAAATGGATGGAAAGATAAGGTGGATGGGATTTGAGATAGATGGGATTAGGGGTGGAGTCAAAGTAGACATGGTAGATATGGGATGATGGGGTAGAATTGTAGAGGATAGGACGATGGAGCTGGATGCAAAGTGCAAAACTATACATTAGAAGAATTTTACTTAAGCACCATCCATATCCATCAAACTCACAAATGCACCGTTTATCTAGGCGTGCAGGTCTAGTCTGACTCTACTGGACCCACATTCTTTAGACATTCCTCTCTCCTGTAAAGTACTATGAAGCCTTTGTACCTGAATCTGGTGGTCTTTGTTGATTTTCTTTAAAACGACAAGCGTCTTTCAACACACAGTCTGCACACAGCACTTACTAGGCTTTTTCTCCTAGAGAGTAGAATGGTTTTTATTGCTAAGGTCAATAAAATATCTTGTACATCTGTATCGCAGTCGTATGCCAACCAATCTTGTACAAAATTTGGATGAAGCTTGGTTAGTATTTTCTTGTTTAATTTAGTAACCATATTTGTATAACTTGGATGTCTCTTAACATAAGCTGTTATTACAGAAAATAAATTCAATTGATAACACACAGCGAGCCATGGCGGCTTTGCCATTTTAGTTTATTGATGTGAAACAGTTTTCACAAAATATAATCCATGTAGCATTTCAAATCCGTGTCCACTTAGGCAGTTCATTAAAGTTTTCATTTTACTTATTTCACAACCTCAATATAATCACTGACATCTCTTTTTGTCTCAAAACACTAATTTAAAATATTAGCTCAGATTGGATAAATCTTTTTGCCTCTGTCCCCCACAGAGTAGTTCACTAGCTAGCCTCGTCAAGAACATGGAGGACTCGGCGACGCAGTTGGCCATAGTCAAGGGACTGCTACTCAGTCCGGGGCACTTCAACTTTGACGAAATCACCAAAAGTCGGACCGTTTACTCAATTATCAGCAACGTGAGTCTGTCCATGATAACAGGAAATTTATTAACCAATTTCTTGGCAAGAATGTTGACTTGTGCATATGCGTACATCCCTTAACTTAATAGCTGTTATCTTGTGTTGTACATAATTTTCCTGTTGGCTTTGTGAGCACAGAATGATCTTCAGAATGGTCTTCATATATGGTTAGCAGAGCCAAACGCTTTGTGCACAAATTTCAGTGGCGAGTGAAAATTCGTACCTTCATTGTACAGTAGTTTGTCAAATAGGCTATTTTCTCGAGAGGACATTGTACCACAAACTTTGATATTTTTTTTTAAGACTGATAATGGTTCTGGCTGCCTTGAAGAATCCTATCAGCTTGTATTTTTTGATCTCCTGCAGTTCAATTCTGATGCAGTGAGGTTATATCTGAGGTGGTTGAAGGAGCTATTTAACACAGGCTCAGTCAATGCTGGGTAAGCGTAATAGGATGTTGATTGATTGTTGATTTCTTCTTATGTCTGTGAATTTTCTCAAGGCACTTGACTAAGTTAGCCCTAACCCCCTAGGATGTATGTAAAATCATATTAAAATCAGAGGATTTGGGACTGCTAGGGATCTATAGCCAGTAGAATCTGACTGACGGAGTGTTAAGTATGGCAGTTTAAATGACCACCTCTGTTTACCACCTCACATGGATTAGTTTTAGACATTGCTAAGTATGCACTAGGTATGATGGATTCCAACAGTTCAACGTTTGCTTATCTCAAAATCGAGGAATTGATAGTCAAACTCATAGACACACATTCAGCATTGAATTCCTCCTTTTTGAGAGAGTCCCTTTTTTCCTGAGATTGATTGTCACCTAATTTATGCATAATGCATGTGTATTACCATGTTTTCTGTTCAAGTTACCATGGTGATTTAGTAACATGGATGGGCCTACTGAGCTTGCGTGGTTAATCCATTTTGAGGCTACAGAAACCAAGAGCCCACAGTTCTAACCTCATCATGGGTCTTGTGTGGTCCAGTGTGTGACTTTACTCATTTCTGTGTCTATTTCTTAGGAGCAACGAGCCCCGTGATGTCGACAGCGGAAGACACTGGGTTTCAATGCAGGTAAGATGTTGCCACTTTCAGATTTCTTTCTTCAGATTTCAGGTTCACTGGTGTTCAAGATCGTGTCCATCTCAAAGCCAGACTTTTGGCAACAAGCCAGCATGATTGAAGAGCTAGACCAAGACCTGAAGGCCTGCTTCCAAGATCAACCCATGTACCTCCAATTTCAAAGCTGTCAGGTCTGAGAGCAAGATCCAGCAGGGGTGTGAGAATTCAGCTTTTTAGCTGATTCCAGCTTTTTTTTTGTTTAGATGTTTCGACCCTGAATTTCAGCTTTTTGGTGCAGCTGGTCTGTACAAAAGTATGGGAACCTTTTTACATTACATACTTTGCTAGCTGTTTTCAGCTTTAATTTTAAGTGGCCAGTCACATCCCTGATCCAGATCTGAAGGTCTCAGAAATTAAAATTTCTTCTTTCAGCTGTAGTACAAGTCTTGATTCCAGGTAAGGTTCTCCTCCAGTTTTGTGCTTTTTCCTTTCTTCGACTTGCAACTTACAGGCTAAGTTTGTTTCTGTTTTTCTTTTCCAGGTGCTGTCCTTAGTCAGGAATCCTCACCTACAGAAGGACACAGACTGGCTGAGCGACTGCTTCCAATTTCTCTTCCTGCATGCTTTCTTCAGGGTCTGGAAGGCAACCAAAGATATCCCCAACGTAAGTCTGGCATTACCAAGGGTTGATTACAGTTTTACCCTAAACACCCCCAAATTCCCCAGATCTAGCACCTGGTTGGCAGTACTGCTGAGATGGATTTAGCACCCGGTTTCACTAAAGTGGCGTAACTCCACTTTATACTAAATATTTTATTACATGAGTGAACAAAATAACCAGTCGTTTATTGAACTCTTGCAACCCTTTTGGATGCCAACGGTTGCAGCAGACAAATTCAGTGGTGTCCACACGTTGTTATTTGTCCTTGTGCAACAGTGTGGCAGGGTGCTCGATGTCCCAGTCGGCGAGTCGCTACGGCAGCAGATGGCCCAGCATTTCTACAGCGCCCTCGGGGTGGTGTGCAACCTGTCCACCAGGGCACCAGTGGAGCCGGAGGGTACCAGCGCTGAGTCGGGGGAATTGTGGGTGTATGTCATTGTGACCTATGCGCAGGTAGGCAAGAGGACATTTAAGCCAGGGGGCACTTTTCTTTGCCACACCTTTTCTCTGTGTACCTGAGATGTGTTGATTTTAAAATAATTTGTGCCCTGTTTTCTTTCTGACAGGCTCTTTTGAACTCCCCAGATGTGAACCGTGCCATAACTTTCTCAGATGAGGTATTCAAAATTGATTTTTATTTTTTTTCATAGAATGAGCCAGTTTGGTATCCCAACAGCGCATGCCCAAAATGAAATACGTCCGAGGTCATTCGGACGCCCGCATGAGGTCTGCCCTCTCAATGCGGGTCTATGCGGACTCCCACGCGTGCTTTGTTTCCGAATGACCTTGCTTTTTTTGAATACCGAACGGGCTCATTACACCAATGTCATTTCGTTTTGAATTGAAAAGTATTTCACATGCCATGCATTCATATTGTAAACTAATGGCTGTCATTACCTGGACTAGTTCAACAATTCCCTTTGTTTTTCAGTCCAGTTCGTCACCTAAGGTTAAAAGAAAAGCTAGTGTAAATTCCACCGCAGATTTGAAAGGTGTAAGACATATCTTACCATACATTTGGAGTACCTTTGAGAGTTTTTTTTAATTTTCTTCTCAATCAAAAATCTAACTTCAGCAGCTGCTTAAGAAACTAGTTTCTCACCCAAAACAATAGATAGCAATATCTTACCCATTATCCAACATTATCAGGCAAAAGGTCACATTTTTTGTATGGCCTTTTTGAAGACTTAGTAGTCCAAATAATTTTTTGGAAAGTCTTTTTTTTCCTTTCCATTCCTTTTTGGTCATCCAGGCCCAGGGAGCTTGGGCTGAGATGCTGTCGGTCGTGGACAAGCTGCGCAAGAAGTCCAAGCTAGCCAAGTCCCCGTCGGCCGGCCCAGCCTTCCAGCTCCTCTTCCTCCACGTGGGCCTGCAGATGTTCAGCGAGACGCAGCAAGCTGTGGACATACTACAGGTCGGTCCACCCACACGTCCCCCCCCAATCAACTCCAAACTCTATCACATATTTCTCACACTTAAAACCTTTTTCAAAACTGTCCCGAGACAAGAACATCTGCGGGGACAAAATTTCAATGTAACACCCAATCAAACCTGTTGACATTTTTCACAAATTTGAAAACAAATTTTGGCACGACAAAATATGATGAAATACGCACAAGTTGTAATGTAGTGGTATAACTAGTGGAACTGGTTGCTGACGACAGTTTCACCCGCTTAATTTCCATAATAATCAGGATGCAAAATGGAGTGACACATCAGAATGAAGATTGCAGTGAATTCTGTCTGATGTGTATAAAAAAGATATTGTTGCAATATGCTTCCGACTCATTTAATTGGATCTGGTCACATCAAATCACCAAACAAATTTCCAGACATCTCTTTGAGGCCCAAAGTCTCAATTTATTTGTTTGGATCACGTGATTTGTTTAGGATCTCCACGGATGCTACGAGCGAGCTGTGAGCAGGAGAAGATCCCTCAAGAAGAAGACAGAGGACGGTAAGACAGAATTACAGTCCTCATTGATATTACCCTTAGACAAGGCCAATCGTGTTCCATAGATGTGAGGACAACACAGGTGTTTAAACATACAGGTTGAGAGGACCCAAAGCCGTATGTGGACAAATCATCGTCCCAAGTAACTCGGCGTCGATGTTCCAAACAAAATCAATTGTCTCCTTGACAGGGTGACAGCCTGGGCTTGATTTCTCACATGGATGAACGGCCCGAGAATGATCGCTGCATAGGGCCCCCTCAGTTAAACATCCGCAGGCAGTAATGGACCCTATTCACGTGGAGGCCATTTTTGATCTTATCCCCCAAATCTGTTGTATATATTGCAAACTGTCGATTAGGATGTCACCAGACTGTTTTATACTTCCGTGCATTCCAAGCCTCCCTTTCAATAATTTTTGGAATCTGGCAAGGTACAATTCAATGTGTTCAACCATGAATTTGAAATTATTCATCGGAGTAGACAGCTGGACATTGATCATGAAATATCATTTTATTTCCTCATTTGTACTCTCAACATTGAAAAATGAAGAGTTAACCTTGCTTTCAAATTCAATATGGCCGGCCCCGTGAATAAAGTCTATAGACTGATTGGAAGATATACCACTACTCAATGGTACCACAGTCGCATGCTTGTCACATGCATTCATTTACCAAGTGTGTACGTTGGTCAGGTTTAGACATATTGGTCATAGAGGTACATGTATGTTGCATGCACGAATGATCCATGTGGGAGCGGGGTACCCTCACAGTAACGGCTCCTAGTTACGGTCCCTGGATTACTCTACAGAGGCTGGATTCCAAGCCTACACATGTTTAAGGGCGTGACTAGTCAGGGTGCAAAGAAAGTGGAAATGGCTCTTGCAAAGCAGTCGGCACAATTACAAAAATTCTGAAGGTGTCAATTCCCTTATTATTGCCATCCGTCAATGTTTTCCTCCTCTTGCTAAGCTTCAAGGTCATGGCATACCCGGAAAGGCGTGGTTTTGCCTATACAGGAGCCCAGCGTGATATTGAAGATGCTATTGGAATTGTGTTTTGTCTCCAGAGCCAGAGTGGGTGGAGGTCGTGACCGAGATCTTGCTCAGTCTCTTGTCCAAGCCGTCACATCTCTTGCGGACCGTGGTGGATGGCGTCTTCAAGATGATCTGCCCTCACATGACCCCAGAGGCACTGCAGCTGCTCCTGGATGTAAGTTTCTGTTTCACTCTGTCAGCGTGCAGTTGTTCTGCAAGTTCTCGTAAGTACATAAAAACTCACCCAAGCAGAATAGATTGTGTTCATGTGTTGACCATCTTGAATTGAGAGTGAGGTAAGACTTTTCATTTTGTGAACCTGAGAGTAAAAATAACAGCAACGCAGTAAAAGTTCAGTGCAAACTCATGCCCGATTTGAAATTTTGTGATAAATTATATCTAAAATGCTTTAAGCCACATTTTGAAACAAGGAACCCCAAATAGTCTGGTACCACCTTGCTTAACAGGTGACATATTATATGATCGACTTTGGAAACATGATAAAAATGGCTTCCCCCGAATGAGGTCTTTTTCACTCTTTAGGTTAATTAGGTGGCAGTACAGAGACACACAGAGGTGTCATTTTGTACATGGCATGAAACTACCCCACAGAGGGATAGATCAGATGACAGTTGGTGCTGTCCAACAACTGTGCCGTGTTGTTCCATGCGCATAATGTTTGTGCAGTAATGGTTTACTGCACAAACATTATGCGCATGGAACAACTGTTGTGACGGGGGCAGCAGAAAAGGGCATGAGTCATTTTGTGCCGGCAAACAACTGAACACACACTGACGGTGTGCCGAATTGTGTACCATATACAAAATATGCTGAGAAAGGACTGTAGATATTTGTGCATACGAGAGATGAATTGATTAAACACAGAAAATGTTCAGTTTGGCCTGATGCATTATCTATCTCCGTAGCCTAAGTTCCTAGGTACAACTGATCTAGAAGAATGACTGCTTTTCCACACCATATTTCATTCAACCAAAGCGACCATTTCCGTAAGAGCACTAACTTTATGTGGTCTTGTGTTGACAGATTCTTGATCCAACCAAAGAGGTTGAAGATGGTAATATGGAGATCACTGAATCAGGTTAGTGTGGACTTCATGTAGAGAAATCCGTTTTTGTTCTAAAACAGAATATTATACATTTGTGACCAACGGCACAACTTGTCAGTGAGGATTAGATATTTCCCCCCTTTTCTGACAGTCTGGTACCAAATTTGAGTCAAAGTCATCTTGTTTGAATTAGAATTTGTGCAAATTTTCATAGGCTACACTGTACGACCAAGCCACCGTTTCTTTCCGAACTGGTTGGTGTCCAGTCTTGATTTGGGCACAAAGAGTATGCCATTGGTTTTTATACTGCACTGGTTGTATTTTGCCGAAAGTAAGAAACGCTCTCACTCTCAGCGAGCATTCACTCAGAGTGAGGTTTAGGCATGACCGTTTCTTCTTGCTTTTTTCATTTTTTTTCTTCAGACTATGAGGAAGATGCAGAAATGGAAGAGGGGAGCGATGATGACGATGACGATGACGATGGGGAGGAGCAGGAGAAGAATGACAAGGTCATGGAGTCAACTCCAGTCAGCAAGAAGAAACGGCTTTCAAACGGTCATGGAAACCACACGAATAAGGTAAATAAATAACTCTTGAAAATGCTGTGCAGCCAGCAATGTTAAACCACCATACTACTGCGTTCATTCGGGCTTGAAATACTGGCTTCCATGCAGACGACTCCTCGTTTGAATTAGCTGGCATGAGTGCTGCCAGTTTTTTTTTTACAAGTCACTGTTCCAGGTCTGAATGGTGAGTCAGCTACTAGGGCTGAACATTTTTAGCGTCTCCAAAACCTGAGTGCTCAGGTTCTGTAACCTGTCACTCACTGCATCAGTTTTGTGGTTTTTGCTGTTCTGCCTGATTTAGGAAGAGTCTCGAAAGTCGGAATGCTTGGAAAGTTCCTTTTAGGAACAACGGCTGTTCTGACTGCAACAAGCCTTGTTCCCTTCCGGAACATGCGCTGTTCCCAACCAGAATGCTCTATTTCTCTCGCTATCCGCCATGCTCAATTTAGCCTGGTCTAATATTGTGGATGTATCATGTTGCAGAGTGCTTCTCCTTCCAGGATATTTCTATTTTTGTTTGCTTTGCATCCCAATTAGAATTTATGATATGACCGACTTAGAATGTTCCCAGAAGGAACACTAATGTCACAACACAGTGTTCCCCAGAAAATAGCTGGGAACAACTTGTTCCCATTGGGAACCAGCTGTGTTCTAGATGGGAATAACCAATGTTCCCAAATGGAGCATTCCAGCGGGAACAAGAACGTTCCAACGTCTGAGATGCTCCCTTAAGTTCTTGAATGTACCCTCAGTGAACCATCTACTTTTCCAGAAGCAGAAGCCGTCCAGCGAGGACAGTCACAACGAATCAGAGAACAGTGAGGACAGCGAGAGCGGAGATGAGAACAACGAGGACGATGAAGATGATGACGTCGACGAGTTCTTCCGCAACGATGTCAAGACAGCACTGGGCGATGCAGCAGCTGATGAGGTGAGCAAGGTTATTCCTCCCAAAAGAGGGCCGTACTTGGAGGAGAAGATTGAAGATTAGAAATAGAATTGTTTCGGCATAGTTCAGAACATTATCCTCCAAGATGGCTACTGAGGGTGTTCCAATCAAGTCCATCTACTAGTCCCTTCACAGCACTTTTCACAAGTCCGGTTGCAAGTGCGGCCACAAGTCCACACTCTGGAACGGGTCACATCCCCACGTTCAAGACTCAAGTGTTTTTATTTTTTGATGACTCAGTTAAAAACATTTATTTGCACGGTATAGAGCACTGTCAGTTGAAAGTACTATGTAAATTATATTCAAGCCTGACTTGCCCTGACCCCTTTTACCCTCAACCCAGGATGACAGTGACGATGACGATGTTGCCAGCAACTTTGACGACGACACGATGATGAGGCTGGACACGGCGCTCTCCAGTCTCTTCAAAGCCAAGATGGCCGACCGGAGGAAAGGCAAGAAGGAGACCAACACTGTGCTGCTGCATTTCAAGCTCAGGTACACACGAAGTGCTAAGTCACCAAGTTGAACCTTGTTCTCAGTGCGTGGAAAAGACGTGGGCATGCGTCACTCATCAGCAGTGTAACGATGCTGAGGGAAAAAAAAAGGTGGCGCGCGTCAGGCCATACTGTTCAGGCACCGTGCAGCCTGCCACATGTCGATTCACTGATGTAACTGTAAAAATCCATGCAAGAACTTTATAAACTTATCAGCATTTGCCATGTTCAAAAGTGGTGTTCCTACTGCACATTCACTGCTGTTTTCATTGGTTAGGGTGGATCACTCTTTTCAAAAAACCTGCAGTGCCTTTTGTCGACATAGTGTCAGAGGCGACTTGTCAAGTTTTGACAATCTTGGCATATATTTATATTGTCATTTTCTCTTTCTTTTTAATAAGTGACAGAAATTGTTCTCTCCTTTAATTTTCTAGAGTCCTGGATTTGCTAGACATATTCATCAAGAGACAGCAATCGAATCCTCTAATACTGGTGCGTGTAGTTCCAACTCCAGAGGCCAGAAATATTTGCTAATGAACTCACTAGCAGCTATGCAACACTACAGTACATTGTATTTATTCATTGGTAAAACCAGAAAAAAGATACACAGTGCTTTGGTGATTAGGGGCAGTATAGGGAGTAACAGGCAGGGCAGTTTTTGGCATAACCTGCGTCATTTGTCAAAGTAGCTTGCCTGTCCAATGCGATGAGATCCAACGGGTCGACTGTCCCCAAGGCCAAACAGCCTGGGAGTCTGTGGTTGCCAGTCACCACACGATCCATCAGTGGCATTGTTCAATGGGACCAGATCGCAGTGTTTCCACATGGCCAGTTTGTTAGGCTGCTGTTGATTGCCCAGTGCAAACAAAGTGCACTAGGTTGTTTACACCTGCTGCACTATGCTGTGTCTAGCAGGGTCAAGGACAATTTTTCACTCAAGTGCTATGGTTCAGATAGATGCGTCATGTAGCAACCCGGAAAATCGGGGCAAAAAACTCCTCTGTCATGACAGTAATTTCTGGTCGTTCAGCGAACGTTGATCCAGTGGAAAGGAGCTGTGACTTCAAGTCTCAAGGACACTTCCCACACGAATCACAACTCCTTTTGTTTTACACCACTGTCCACAGGAATTGGTTCTGCCGTTGTTGGTGGTCGCCCAGACAGCATCCGTGCACAAGGACCAGCACGTCCTGTCAGAGAAGGCAGTCAGCATCTTTCACAACAAGCTCTGTAGGGTCAGAAAGGTATTGTGAGGCTTCTCCAAAAATTCACATGTGCTTTCTGTGGTCATTGTTCTCAAATGTTTTCCTAAAATGTATGTTTAGCCCCCAGAGTTCATGTGATACAGCCTCTTTTGGCACCTAATACAGGCATCAACTATTTCAATATTTTGTTTAAATCTAGCCTAAATTATAGATGTTTTATTGCTGTTACTTGTATTTAAAAAATACCAAAATGCCAGGTGTAGTGACGTACTTACTCTCTGTTCAATTTCTTATACGTCTCCAGTTTTGCATTTTATGTCATGTTATTGGAAGTGAAACACTTTATTATCTGGACTGTCTCCTAGTATCCGCATAATCTCACAGAGCAGAGAGAATTGCTACACGACACCATTGAAGCAATCTTGCAGATCGCTAAGAAAGGTAACCAGTGCTTTATGATGTGTTGTATTTGTATAGTGGCCGATAGCCTGCTGTCATCTTCAACACATTTAAGCTTCAGACAGAACCATCCACCTTAGATGGACGATTTTTTCATCATTGGGAAAGGAGTAAAAAGCTAAAACTTCATCAGATTTTTGTATCCAACCATGTAATTGGTCCATATTCTCCACATTCTTGACAGTAGTCCAATAGCAAGCTTTATAGTGTTTTCACATTCTCAAGCTTTTGGTTTTCTCTTTCATAAACTTACATTATGTCTTATGCGCAGACTCATCATCTTTGATACAAGCACTTATTTAAACCCTGACAGTTTCAAGTCACTTCCTTTGTCTGTTTTCTTTTTCAGCAACTTCCGTTATGACTGTGTCACTTTCGTCAACTGGCTGCTTGTTTCTGGTAATTTGACCTAAAAAAGATCAATATATGTTTTTTTCTCTCAAAACTTAATAACTAAAATTCATTTTGCGTCGATCAGTTATGTCCCCATACGTTGTTCATTTTCAAGCTTATTATTTCCCCCTGCAAACCATCATCAAATTTCCAAGTGCCGGATATTTTCCTGTTTTTTATTTCTCTTTACTTTCCGCCAACAATTCCACTTCAATTTTAACACGTTAACATCCCGGATATCATTGATATTCAAGCTTAAGACATCTGGGAAGACATCACACACCGTGAACAAACTTCGAAGTCCTAGACTTTGGTGGATTTCTTTGACTTGCATCAAGAGTGGTGCTGCGTAATCAGACAAAGGTCAAAGGTCATTCTTTTCCTTTGTGGTACATTTGTCGCAACAGATCCGGGTGTTACGAGGCAACGTCGAGATGACCGACCTGTCTCCTGTGAAAACGAGACACCAGAGGGCCGAGGAGAAGAAAGCCAGCTCTGTCACGCAGGAAAATGTTCCACAGGTCAGTCAGTCACCCAACCAAGAGATGTGTCAAAGCTGGATTGTTGGGATTTAGGGAGCCATACTTCTTTCAGAGCACAAGCCTGCAGATGAAACAAAGGAATATTTGTTCTACCGTGATGTACAGATTTAAAATAATTTTGGTTCAGCAACATGTTACCAGCTAACTTGTGATTTGCTTTATTTTTTTTTTTCTGTGTTCCAGTCAAATATGTTGGATGTGGAAAGGATAAGCAAGCTGTACTGTAGTGCCTTAGAAGACTTCATGACTCACAGGTAGGTTGTGAGGGCTCTTTGGACTTAATAGTTGGCCAAAATATTGGATGTGTAATCAGTCTGGGACATGCTAGGATACCTCAGCAGCATGGACTTCTGTGTGACATACGGTTTGTTGTACACATATCAGACCAGACTTTTTAAGCCAACCATTCACTGAAGGCCATGCCCATTACATCTATACATTAATATCCGGCACCTCCCAGTCGAATCAAGTTGGTCACTTGCAGGAAACTTTAAAGGAAAACTTCAGCCAGCATGGAAAGACAAAGTCGTGTACGTTGTCTGGACTTATTTGCTTAAGAATTACACCAGTATCCTTATCCTCTGCAGGAGCACCAACCTCCACTCTCTTCTCTTCTCGGAGCTGATTGAACGGTTCCCCGTAAGTATGAATTGCATGACTCATCCAGGCTTTTGAGCCTGCCTGCCAGACTGTGTCTTTGTCAAGCTTTCAGTGCCAAATCTGGCCAAAAGATGTCAAACTTTTTACTGAAAGAGTCCTAGGTAATGTACTAAATGTCATGATACATGTCAAAGTAATTTTATTGACCCTTGGAGTAAAAGCCATTTGCGAGTTAAATTTGAATAAAATCTGGTACACTGAGTTATCTGATTGCACATAAACGTAACAATTTGAATCCCCCAAACTAAAGACACTGTTGCTATACCTCATGATTCGGGGCAAGCTTTTGCATAGTGACCACCATCTCTGGAATGGACTGGTTCCTTTGTGCCGTCCCTATCCATTGAGAACAGTGCATTGTTGCAAGGCGTCTCTTATGTAACTAAGCACAAGCTTGCCCCGAATCACGAGGTATACGAACAGTATGTAGTATGGAGAATTCAAGTTGTTATGTTCACATGAACTTAAAGAACTCGGTGTACCAGATTTGAGTCAAAGTTAACTCGCAAAAGGCTTATTGTAGATAATGTAAATAAGTGTCGTAAGCTTTAAGATCAGGAACATTGACAAACTTTCTTTTTTTTTAGTGGGGTTGGGGTCTTCTGGCTTGTATAGTTATTTGTAACTGCATTCACATTCTTGCCTGACAGAACCTGGCTTGGCACTTTGCCGAAGATCTTGTCCAGTATATCAGCACTGGTTGCCAGCTTTACCGAAAGGTAAACCCCACAGTAAATGAATGCTTTTCTTTCCGAAAACAATGTCAAATGAGTACATACACGTGTCCATTTGAAATCTCAATCTCCGTCTGTCTATTTCATTTCAGACTCAAGCCTGTAGATTGTTAGCTCTGCTTATGTCCAGCAGACCTGTACAAGTGAGTTCAATATAAGCTACCTAATAGCTCGGGATGTCGGTCTTTGTGTCAGCCCAGTTTAGTAGTGTGCATGCATGGGCAGACTGGGGACCAGATACCCTACTGAAGTATAGCACAGGCTCCAAGGTACACAAGAAAGAAGGCTCACCCCAAATTCAAAGAACATAGAAAGTGCAAACGTGCAAAGTACATTTGAATTCCTATTTTACTGCAGAGGCTCGTCAGTAACCTTCGGACATAACTGTTTTCAGAGTCCATGTAGCCTGGCGTTTATTTTGCTAGTTCCCCACAAAAATCTTTCTGAAACCCTTTCATTTTCTTCATCTCAAGAATGAAAGTTATCTGTTCGTGCAGTTAGTGGTAGGCTTTTCTGTTATCTAGAACCACTTCAAGCAGCCTGTTTGTTTCACGCAGATCCAGATCGCGGTCAGTGATCGGACATTGGTTCACTGACTTCAGAACCCTCATAATGGATAGAGCAAGCCAGTGTTGGGACCACTGATCCAGATCCTTGTAAAACAAACACGCCCCCGATACTGGTTAGGTCATTGGGCACCCTTTCACAGCCCTAGCCAAGATTCTGGGTGTTAAAGTAGTGGATCCAGCTCTTTCCAGAAGTCATTGCTCACTCCTGCAGAGGCTATCCAGTTAAATTCGACCCCCATTCTCTCCAAAAGTCATGGATTTGATCCATTTTCTTTGCGGTGCTGTTTGTCGTAGGGTGACTCTGGCAGATGGAGCAACACAAGCGAGAGACTCTTGAAAGATGGCCTTGAGGTGAGACTAGTTTTTTTTTTTCAGAAAATAAAATGAATCCCAAGGCCCCCCCACAAAAGTGGTTCTAACGTCAACAGTAAAAGAGTAAATTTGCAAAAATACATGTGTGACTGTGTGATTGTGGTTCTCCGTGGCCGTGAGGTAAGACTAGTGCTTTTTATTCCAGATGATGGAATGTACCTAAATCTTCCCAATCCACAAAAAGTGGTTCTAAAGTCAACAGTAAAAAGTAAATTTGCAAAGATGTACATGAGACTGTGTGATTTACGGTTTTCGATGTACAGGTGTTGCAGAGCATGTTGGACGGAGAGCAAGTCATCAAACCCAAGTTTCTTCTTCAGTTGCTGATTCTTCTGCGGGAGTTTGCCAATGCTTGTCACTGCGTGAATAAGGTAACCAGACCCCAATGGCGGCATCAGCTGAAAAGCTCAACATGTTCCGATATACGCGATGTAGCTTCACGAACCTTGTGATATCTGAAAATATTTACCTATTCTTCTACAATAAGAACTGAAATTTTTGTTTACACATTTTGGCTAATCCATATTTGTTTCCGGGAAGTTATTTGTTGTTTGTTAATTCAAATCAGTCTATTCCTGTTGGAGATATCTGGAGCATAGCACCTTGGCATGGTCCTCACAAGGAAGATTTGAAAAATAAAAAGGAACAAAACCGATAGATATGAAAAAAACCAAGATAAAAGAGAATAAATCACCAAATTCCTTCAGAAAGAAACCCTCAAAATTAATCCATTCTACTTGCTAATTGTTTATCTTTTTATCTGAAGAGTGCTTTGCGTCCCCCCCCTGAAAAAGTGGTTGCCACTCCCTGGACACAATCTGGTGATGCCCATGCACCTGAGCCCCCAAATATTTGGCCCTTAAATGTCATAGTAGATGCTACACGAGAGTGAATCGGACAGGGTGGAATGCAGTCCGCTGCAGCCATCAGTTCTGGTTTGTTAGTGGTCCAATTCCCGTTTTTTAAAGATTTTTGTCAAATCCACCAAATCCACCAAACAGTAGAAGAGCCCAGAGCCTGTTGGATTATGACAGGAACTTCCACTTGCTGTTAACATCTGAAACAGGCTTCCCTGATGTCATTGGGTAGCCTTCAGAGAAGGGGGCTCAGCACTTCCAGGAGGGCCACCGCCATTTTTTGATCGGCCTCACATAGTCCCCGACTTCGTGTATATAAGTTCAGATTAGTCCAAGCACATCTCCAAGTCCTATTATAAGTGATTATCAGTTGTCTTTCCATGACAGTTTATAGTTTTCCACTGGCACTATTTGTCATGTTTAACTGTAGGTTGTAGGAGTGGGTTGTGTTTAAAAAAGGTAGTCCAACCGTTGTTACTTCTTGAAGGTCTTTGCACAGAAAAGTGCCTTTGATTTCCAATATGGTGGAAAATTAAAGAGTTTCTGGGACTGTTCCTTGCAGAAGTGTCAGGGAGTTAAGTAAAAGGTTCTCTGTCCCAGTTACATTCAAGGCTTCAGGGGCTGAACAAGACGAACCATTTCACATGCGCTTCGGCTTGTAAGGCTAATGGGTGCGTGCACAAAGCTTAGCAATAAAGCGTCCAATCGAATTCTCCCGTCCCTGCCCACCCCTGCAGCTCCCTAATTTCTCCAAGATGGAGTCAAGGCTAGAGGAACTTCAGAAGAAGGTGGAAGTCAGCCGATCGGGTGAGCTCACCTCGGCGGTCAGGAGCGTCCTCAAGGCGTTTAGCAACAGGTAATGCCAATACAGCTAATCAACGCATCGCAAATTTGAGACAGTTGGCCGTTCAAAGAGCGTGCGACAGATTGGCGTCGGGGCTGTGTTGAGGCGCGGGAATATAGAAACTCTTCAGTCACATGATTTTTGAGGGTCAGCGTTCAATCTGCACGCTTCCAAAGTCTTTCAGCATTCTGCCATACGTGAAATTACCAAAAGAAAGATGCGTGTTCAAAAATGCATGCGGTGCCGCGGACTTGAAACATTTCCTGAACTGCATTTGCCCATCAAGTGACATCACATGAAAAGCCTCTATACCTGAATGTGAAAACATAATGCATTATTGCTAGTTAGATTCCAGGACTGATGTGTACTGATGCCAGGTTGGGGAGGGGACAGGAAAGGATATATCCCCATATATCTCCCCACATTTGACCAGGGGGATGGGACATTTGATCTCCTCCTGCTTTTTTTTTTTCTTGGTGAGAAACAAAAAAATGGTGATGCGAGGTGATTTTTCCACCTTTCCAACAGGCAAGCCGATATTAAGTAGCACCGGCAGAATTGGAGAACAGGCAGTATAAATCTTGAAGTGCACTGTTTAAAGCTTAAAAAACTCATAATCATGCAACAGTGACAAAGATGTATCTTCTTGGTAACACCTCCCCTCATGCCATGTCGTGTCCACCGCCCTCCGCAAGTGGCATAAATTTGTTCCAGGGACTGGGAGGTCTGGGGAATGATGTAAAACTTGCCCAGCCATTGACATTAGTAAGAGGGGGCGGGGGTGGGTGTTGGTGGACCCCACATGATTCTAACAATACAAAAGTACATTTTATGTATAATCTCGGCCTTTCATCGAAATGGCATACTTTAAAAATGTGTACTTTTTCTCTCCTTTTCAGTGCTATTGGATGCATTTTGGTTGTTGGGAAGGTTTAAAAATACCTCAAAATCTAGCCTGTCTTTCTGCTTGCCACAAAAAAAGTAGGAGATTGATCCAGTAGACTACCCCCCCCATTCAAAATTGCGGGGGCTACCCCCATGCGCCCAGAATTTAAAACCCTGCACCCCTCACCCCCACCTCAGATTTCCATGGCCATACAATTGTAGGATTTGGGTCATACCCCCATCCCCACCTTCACTTGCCATGCACGAATTTCCATTACTTACAGGGCACAAAAGACCCCCTATTGTCCATAAGAATCCAGTGGCAGTGGCGGAAGGAGGGTGCCGGGGGGGCCCATTGGCCAATAGCCCCCCCCACCATATACACTCTTTTGAGAGATCCTTGAAGCCTGATTGTCTAACAAATGCCCCCTTTGAAAATCATTGTGCGGCTGGTGTAAGAATTCCATCCCTGGGATGGAACATTAAACCACAGGTGCCTTGCCCCCGATTATTACACCCAGAGAACCCAGAAAACTACTTAATGGCTCGATGCCAGGGTTCCTGGTACCGGAGACCTTGAGTTTGTTAGCCAGGGGTACCTGAAATCAGACAAAGGAGCTGGGCCTTGTAACAAAAGACCATACTCGGAACAAAAGACCGAGCTGCTGGGAATTGCCATCATTTTTTGGCTGATATTAGCGGAGATAATCCGTCACTGTTTTGAAATAGTATACCACTGTTTGCGACATTCAGCACCCGCAGATTATCAGCGGGGACAAAAGTAATGAGCATTGCAGTACCGCTGTGCACTCATCTGGCTGCATTTGAAAAGACACCACTGCCATTCAGGAGGTTGCCTGTCAAATGAGAGTAGCCACGAGGCCAGTTTTGGGAACAAAGGAAATTACCTAACACCACAAAATCTGGGCTCTCTTTATTGGGTGGCAGGCCTGGCTGCAATGCTCGGGTGTCAGTGGAGGTTGCCTGTCAGATTAGAGAAGCCACCAGACAGTCATTCGTGTGGGTGTAAACATACAGTGAATGAAGTTATGATTTTTGAAAAATTTTGAAAGCAGAAAATCTTGAAAATCACCCGGGAACTTGTCCCAGATATGCAAATTCCATCCAGCAGAAAGTGGATAAGGTAGAGCCATGATTTTTCTAGCTTTAAAAGCCTGTTCCTTGTCTGTTGATAACAGAAGGTGCCACATGAACGATTCATGTCATGTCATTGCCAAATTTGGAACACATCAAGTCCCGAATTGGGAACAGTTAATGTCTCCCAGCCTGGTTCTCAGGCAGAAGGGGGCCCTGTTTCCAATTTAGTATGTTGCACGAAGGCAAATGTTTCCACATGGTTCCAGCTGGAACAGCACACGATTCCCAAATAAATCGGACAGGATTCTCAGAGGAATGCTTCAGGCATGTCCGACTTCGGAGATATTTCCTCAAACAGTTCTGCCTCGCCCACCCAAAAAAACTACATGAATCACAGTTTGCCTCCAAACTGTTAAAGTGTTTTTAGTTCACTGTCTTGTTCCCAAATCTGTGCTGAAATACTGTTTCCAGTCCATCATGACTTTGTTTTTTTCAATTTCCTTTTTTAGACCTGCTGACACACGAGGTTCCGGGAAGAGAAACAAACGGAAAAAGCACAAACGGAACAAGAAGAGCAAAAGGTCAAAACCAGTCGATAGTTAGGTGAAAGAATGCCACAATTCAGTTGTTTCTATGATAATTTTTTATTGTAATTGGGCCAATCATATAACATAAAAATGCAGTATAATTGTTGTGGGATAATATGCTATCGCGCTTGCAGGTATTTCACTTAACGTCATTACCCTTCCTGATTCTATGGTTTTTAAGGCATTTATTTTGGGGGTTCAGAATTTCCTTTTGATGGGGTCTCTCAACCTCACCCTATCTGAATTTTCATTTGACACTTGCTCTTGGGGGTTCTGCTCTTTGGGGGAATTACTCAGCATTCTCAGTGCCCCCAGTAACTACTTGTCGTAAATCCAGGATAAAACTTGAGCTCATCAATGGTAAACCAGCAGAACTTTGAAAAAAGGGGCGTGATTTCTCAGGATATTGCTGGATTTCAGGACTTTTGATGCCCAAAGTTCTGGGTTTTTCAGAGTTTTAATCATTCAGACGTTGCTCCTTTTTTTGCCAGAAACCCCAAGTCGGAGATTCACTTCATCGTAGCCTTTGGCAAGAAAACTTGTCTCTTGTTAGCTTTTCAAAGCTCTGAAGAGTCACATTATTTTATTGTTATCTGTATAACCCCTCCACTGGGTATGTCATGAATTTCTCTAAATCTCACACCTTGGGGAAAAAAAAGCAAAAACATGCTACGTAATGTTTTAGCGGTCAGTCTACAGACTCCAAGGACGAGATAATTTCTCTGTTGTCCGAAGGACTGGCCAAAAAAAGTTTTGGTGCTTGAGCCCTACCAGAATGGAAAACCGTACCATGCCTAAGTTTTCCAAAACTAGTTTAAAATGACGTGTTCATATCATGGAGCATGTCTGCCTGTAACTTTTTTTTCTTCAATGAGAACAAATCACCAACCGTGATTTAAAAATCCAGATTTTTCCTTTGTACACCTTGTTGTGTGGTTGATTCGTTTCACATACATGTACATGTATACATGGCTGAAAGAAAGGACCGTGTTGGAGTAACAACAAAACACTTAAGTTTCAGTTGTTGGTTTTTGTTTTCTTTTGTTTTATGTTTATTTGGTGGAGGGGGGTTGTTTTTTGTTTATAATTAGCTTACATGTCCCAACTACCCTTTGAATTGTATTTCAAAAATGAAATAATGTATTTTCAAATAAATTATAAATTTTAAAGCCCTCCCAAAAAATACACAAAAAAAAGAGTAAACTTGGATTTTAAGCTCGGCCTGTTGCAGTGATTAAAATTCAAGACCTAAGTAGGCCCAGGCCAGCTACAATTACAACCGCAAGAGGGACATGGCCGACTGAGCAGATGCCAGTGGCCGCGGCAGAGTTAGGCGGGGCCCGTCTGTGTCCCTCCATGGGTCCTGCCGCCAGGTCAGCACCCTGGGAGTTGGCGGCCTCGTTCCGCTGGAATTCCCCGCACGTAGTCCAAAACGGACAGCTGGTCGGCCAACAGGCCCTGAATGGTATAACTGGACCACAGTCCCACGTTTCTGTAAAAAAAGATCAAAATTATGTGGGGGGGTGTGAAGATGTGAAACTTTACCGAACATTTCCCAATGATTATCAGAAATTCCAGTCTTTTTACCCTTCAGAAACATGCGCCTCAGTTAAAAAAAAAGACCACGAACTGTGGCAGACTAGGTTCCTTACCGACGAAGTATAAACGGCAAACAAGAAACTAATATTCCACAACCCTGATTTCAGTAACTATCGAAGCTTCCTGCTTGTAAAATTTCACTCTGAAGTGTGAAGTTGTAGCGTGAAATTACAACTGGGCAGTGAAACTACATCAACCCCCACGCACAACTTCTAAACTCTAGAAGGTAACCGTGTGCCCTGTGGTTTTGGTAGAGGTAATTAATGTTGATGGGCCGTACATTTTTCGGGGGACCGGAAAGCGATTCCCTCTATTTGTGGACCAGAGCACAATATAACACAAAGGACGAAATACATTTGACATTTCCAATTTCATGCATGGTGGAACGACATTTCAGATGTTTAGTTGAGAGTTTTGTACGAGAGCATTCGGTGATTTGATGCCAACTTGGGCAATCAACCATGCAGCTTTTTTATATCGAGAGGACAATTTGTGGGAAGGGGGACTAATCCTGCCCTTTCCTCCCGAAATAATGCGAAAGCCCCGGAACGTAGCGTTATTCTCAGCCTCGGGTTAGGCCTACATGTAAGGCAATTCTCAAAACAAAGGATATCTGCAATTATCTCCTATGGCAGTGCTATTACCGTTTAGTCGTTAATGTGTTACGCATAACTGCTGGCGAACATTTTGCGCCAGCTCGTCGGAAGTCGGTAATCGCTCGTTATTAAATAAATTACGTCTGGAAATCCACCTTCTAAATTCCTCTCTCGCTATCGTGCGAGTTACTGGCGAAACAGTGAATGTCTTCTTGACTGTTGGGGATGATTGTGTCGATTCTTTTTTTTTTTTAATTCTGTATATTTGTTTTTGTTTGATTGTTTTGTTTGTTTGGGGTTTTGTTATGTCCTCTTTTTTTTCTTGGTGTTTGTTTTTTGGGGTTGTTTTGATTTTAATTTTTTTTACTCGGTAAAACATTGAAACTAAAAAGAAGCCTTTCTCTTTTGGGGGCATATACAGTTAATGAACATTTAGCTTTTACTCTGTGTATGTGAAAACGTGAATGTTACCACACGGAAATTAATATTAATTGGATTGTACGGAAGAAAAAAAAAGATGTCGAATGGAAATTTATTATGTCTATTTCAAGCAGTATCATTTAGAGCAAAGGCAATTTTCTGAAAGTGTACATGACCTCTTTGTAACGTTTTCCAACTCTTCTAATTTGAAAAAAAAAAGAGATTTATGTAATTTACAGAAATGTGGAAGTCATCCGGCAAAATGGTCAACCTTTGGTTTGTAATTTTTCCTTATACGCGGACTCGACTTCGGATTCGTTTCAATTTCCGGTCAAGTTTTGTTGACCAGGGGCGAGATGCTACGAAACTATAAATGGGAAAATACCGGTCACTGCACAAAGTGCTTCCATAATTTACTTCCACAGAAATTGTTTTCATACAGATGTCGGCGCTGTAAACTTACATCTGTCATTGCTACGTATAACAAATGACTAACCTAAGCGCGCGCGATAAAAACATGCCAGCTGATTTTTTAGGCCTACTTTCGATGTCCTGTGGTTTCGAAAAGTAGGACACGGCATATGTAGTTGTTTGGTATTTGACGCATTGACCCCCCCCCCCCAGCATCGGAGGCAAGTATACCCTATGCAAAGACCTATAAGATTGTTTCAACATGAACGAAATTAAATATCGAGACACACTTGTCGAACCTCGAATCCGTTTCGAGCGGAATCAAAAACAACTCCCTGGGCCCAGTGGCGTACGGTCCACCACAAACAATATTCTGTACTTCGACTCGGCGCCCCTGTGACATGCAACTGGCAAGATAACTGAATAAAACATGCAGTAATCATTTATTATTTAGACGTCAGCAGCGAATACTGATTGGATGTAGGCCTGATATTGAGCGATTTACATGTGTTTGTATCAAGCTGTATGCTTGGCCTATGTTGAGGTGCGAGAGAAATTCCCCCAATTCAAAATAAATGAACTTCCGTTATTCTTGCGTGCATATTTGGAAGGACTATCTTGTCGGCACGCCTAACCAACTGGCGAAATCCACCCCTCAAATGTCCTGTTAATGCCATCCTGAAAACTTGGTTAGGTATATAAGAGCTGTACATCAAAGATCATCACCCGAAATCCTCAGGGACAACTCTGCTTTTATCAACGAATTTACTTGACATTTTGATTTCAGCATGTGATTCCAAACGTCTGATGGGTTCCCCGCAATTTTTAGAATACAATCTTTTGAGACATCAAACAGTTTGCGATCTCTGGATACGTATTCTTTGCCACCGCTGTGTTATTCAGAAAAGCTGACAACTAGATCGTGAAAAGAATATTGGACGTGCATTTCACGAGAAATACAAAATCGTTCAACGCCCCGTCCAGTTATGATTTTCACGATTTTGCTGAGACAGTAATTTTTTGGTTGATGATTTAAGCACGAGCAAAAACGTCACGACTGGTTTTGTTGTAAGATTCAAATTTGTAACACATAAATTTTTAGTCATAAAATTCCCAAAGTTTGACACCCCGAAGGAAACTCGGTACGGTGCGTCTGATAATCAGACTATCTTGATAGCCATGTCCTGGCGATAATGATCCGTACCTTGCTTTGAAAACTGTCGCTACCATGACGAACAAAAAGATACTCGTTGTTGAGAACATTGTCTGGCGCTGCAAATGGACAAAAATACCCTCCAAATTGACAGCGATGTCCAACACGCTGCAAAAATAATGATCTAATTTCTTGTGGCCCGAAGCAATATCACACGTTGTTATTAAAGCTCGGGGCCCTGCACAATTACCCGTGTGGAGAAAGAAAAATCCTTGACTACCCGTGTTGAATACTGACTGGCTATCATTGGACAATAAAATGACAGATGACTGAGTTATCAGTTCCAGTGTGTGAATCGGCCATATTGGTTATACGCGTGAACGCCGGCAGCTGTTATTTTGAAACAGTGTTTTAACATAGAATATAAATATTGAGTGCCGGCGCTTTCTCCAACCAGAAGATGTACCAGGAGACTGTAGTTTATTAAATGAACTCTTGCATTCAGTATTTTGTCTGTTCACGTTGCTGAGCCTCATTTTGTGTTCAAGCTAGTTTTGATAATACAAGTATGACTATTCATGAACATCGTTCGTGAGAAAAAAAGAATGAGTCGGTGAGTAAGTCAAACTGAACTGTCGTCACGTCACCCCATGATCACACCGCACGGTAGGCCTAATATTCCGGGTGGTGTTACACGACTAAATTGACTGTTCGTGAATTAGGTGGTTGCATTTTGTGTGGTGATGGATGGGATGTTCCACTAAGTTATGAAGTGGTACGGAGTCACCAAATGAAATTATTCTTTTCATCCAAGGAAAACGCATTCATTACTCTTTTGCGCAACACCGCAGTAGGCCCCGAATAGAACGTTCCATTTACTGCGCATCATGGATTAGAACATGTCCCGTTGTTTTTTTGATGCGTTTTATAATTTGTTTCGATTTTTTTCTCTCATCAGGGTCTAGCCTATGGTCCATTCATTCATGACGATGCAAAACGTCTTGTCTTAGTTGACCCATGCACTTCCAAGGTCAAGGTCGGGTCTTGTCTGGACCGCTTCTCTATGTCACGGGTCCACTGAACGAAACTGGGATTTTTCTTTCGTTATTTCCGATAATCTTCTGCTGTCTTCCAACCCTTCAGTTGGCTGTATACCAATTTTTTTCTGTTCACTGTTACCTACATGAATCTTGTAAATAAATTCCAGAGTTTAAAACATATTTTTCTTCTTTGATTCACCACAAGTTTCTCTGAATAAACTTGATGTATTTGACAATACGTAGGTCTACTAAAATCACCAAGATGCTCCGTCATCTATGACATCACAGTGTTGTAAATTACCACTGTCGGAAGTAGCCAGGAAAACTGGCATAATTTCCCGGCCGACAGAGTACTGATGACAAGGCAGTTTACACAGTTTGCAGAACAGCTTTTATCTATCTGATCGTTTTCGTTGTTTAACAAAAAATTCCGTACCTATTTTAATGAATAGTAATGACCGTCTAAAGAACGTTTTTGATTAATTTTTACTTAACAAGAAGGTCTAAAAATTTCGATTTTTCTCCAGTTTTGTAAAAAATTGAATAACATGTCGAAAGATACTCGCGAAAAGTTAAAAGTAAAGACGTGATCGCTGAGGAAACTCTCATTACAGTGTGCTTACAAAGGAGGATAAGGGTATACTTAAAGGTCGTTACCTGATGAAGTAAGAAAGCTCATAATGAACTACTTTCTTGGCGGAAGCGCAGACGAAAATTCTATCGCTGTTGAAAGGGCGCCCCCGTGCATCTATCGCGGTCATATCTGCACAGGAAAAAAATAGTCGGCTGGTACCCGGCTTCTCCATGCAAAATGGAACTTAAGTGGGACACCAACTCATGAAAGGGAAGGAGTGTTTTCCTATTGGAATCTGCTGTTGAGTTTAGACCCCAAAACACTGCGAAATCTGCCAGATTTTCAACCATTTTGGCGTCCCGAATTCCCGGAATTCCCCCACAGGAGGCGTGGGTGATTCTCAGGGCTTCCACACAGCACGGACTCGGGCATGGAGAACGAGCAGAAGAAGCGCTCGCAGCGGAATCGCCGGCGCGAACGGGCGCAGGAGCTGAAGCAGAGACAACAAATGCAAATGCTCCAGAACGGGGAGAATAAATCGCAGGATAATGGGGGCAGTGGGGATGACGACGACGATGGACCCCCACCCCCTCGGGGGCCTAGGGAGAGGACAAGGCATCGGCCCAAGAAGAGAAAGAGCTCACGGTCTAGCTCCAATGACGAGGATATAATTGATGGCTTTGCAATTTCCAGCTTCCCGACACTGGATGCGATGGAGGTAGGCCTAGGCCTTGCTAAGTCCCCTCACTAATTTTGTTCACATTGTCCTAAACTTTACACCAGATTTAGGGACGAAAACCATTGCGCTTGGTCTGTAACCCCAGCTAAACCGAATGGTCAGTGCCCTAAAGATATTGGGGTTCATTACAATTAGCGCCGTGTTCCTATAATAATGCCGTTAAAGGAAACAAAGTCCACTTTTCAAACCAACTGACTTTCAGACCTTGAAGATCCGTTCCTTAATCCCTGTAACCCTAGTTTAGGTGAATTTGGCAACATTTAAGCAAGAAAACCAGAATTTTTTAATCCGAGTTCGGGGAAAGACGACTGCATGATGGCATTTTGTTTCACATCTGGTTACCAGATCCAGCCATTGTGGATTTACTAAATTGTACAAAAAACTTCATCCAGGTCAAGGCACCAGACTACATTCACAAACTCGTCTTCGTTCTCAGCTCTTCGTTGTGTCATTTACGCTTCCGTTTTACCCAATAATTTCCCTCAAAAACCAAAGCCGAGCCCTCTTTTCTTTCGAATATGAAAGAGGACATCACCGCCAACTTGTCTAGGTAAGTTTTTTCGAAAAGTTAGACTTTGTTTCCTTATTATAGGAACAGGGTGCTAAAGGTAATGAACATCAAGATATTGAACCATTTTCATGTTTTGGCCATTAGGCCTCCTTTGTAACCTACGGCATACCAACCAGCACAGAGTTGCGTGTTGCACTGCGGCCTACATTGTGTTGTAAGTAAACGCCAGCATGTCGAGTGGAAACACGTAATATAACAGGCTGTATTTCCTGATTTTGTGACCGTATTTTTCATAGTGGCTTAAGTTACAGAAGCTCTAACATGATTTGCAGATTTTGTAGTTACGGACGGCAGTGTTCAATATGTGCCTATACATTAGATATTGTGCCAATCTGTGTCAGGTTTCAGATTGCATTAGCAATTTTCGCCTTCTTAGTGGTACGGTACATATTACTCATTCAGTATACACTACTTTGAATCCCTCTTGGCAATTTTGAATTGTTTTCGTTCATTTCTTTACATTATTATTTGAAACTAATCCTACGCTTACTTTTTTGAAGTGAAACAAGGTCATAGATATCCATTTGTTACTGACTGTTCTGAGGGAAGAGTTCCATATGCGGACTTCACTCATTTTTCCTTACAGTGGCATGTCAGCCATCAGGAAGTGAGCATGTCCTAAAGAGGTCAAATTTATATGGGAAAATTTCAAAGCATTTACTTAGAAATGCTTTCAAAAATTTAGTCTAGTAGAGTTTGTTTGTCAAGTGATGTCTGTGCATGGAACTCTTTCCAGCAATAATTTTTTCATCCATAAAGTGCAAATTTCATACAGTTATGTTCGCATGCATTGTATAATGAAGACATTAAACTATAATGTGGTTGAGCCGCAGGCATACAAATGTGCCTCAGGCAGCCGCCAAACAACCCACATCTGTAGAGAGGAGACAATGAGAAGCAGTTCCTCTTTAGAGTTGGGAGGAAGACCCCAGAAGAATGGTCTGGATAAAACCCACAGAATTAATTAGGGACTGAAAACCCAATCCACATGTACACTAAACTGGGAATCAAAACAGCTGAAAAGAGAGGAAAGAAGCACTATACCTGCCAGATTACCGACAGTTTCACTAAATCAATTTGAAAACCTCAAATATCCCACTTAAAGAACTAAAAATAACTAGCTAACTACTCGTACATGTAGCTACAAATACACCTGTTTCATATGACATTTGGAAAGAAATGAGTAGGCTTATTGATGGAATTCCTGTGGTTTGAAAGTGCCAGATTACGCATTGTCTGGTTGGTGTAATTTTTAAACTTACTGACTGAAGTTTGACATTAAATTCTTCCCACAGTTAAAAAAAAAAGGGCAAAAAGGAAACAGTCATTTTAAACGTTAAATTCCATTTCCAGTAGTTAATTTGAAATCAATTTCAAGTTCACTTTGTTCATTCATTGATGTTGATACTGGTTTGTTATCCTTTGGACTACATTTTAATGATATCAGAGATACAGTAGTGCTGAATGCATTGACCTTTGCTGCCTTCATTATCTAGTCGACCATTGCATCTATTGGTAATTTCTGTTTCAATAAATCTATTATACTGAGAGCTGAAACTTGCACAAAGAGAAATCAATTGCAGATCCTCAATCACAAATCAAATAAACAGGAGTGGGAAAATTGGTTGGGGGTCAGTTGTGTTCTTTGACAACTGTAAAGACCATCTGCAGATCATTAGGCGTACTCATCTGTGAATAGTTGTGTGTTTTTGTTAGAATTAGCAAAGAAATGAGGGTTATGATTTAGATTGGAAGGTGAATTTGTGATTTAATGTATATGAACTGATTCATCATTTGTTTGGTTTGGCATTGTGTATGAAAGCATCAGTCAGACTCATGAATCGGTACATGTGTACATACATGTACATGTATGCACAGGGGAATTGTGCTTAAGTAGTTATGCATGAGCGACTTCGCTAACTCTGGTTTACGATATTTGTTCATAATGTAATTAGTTTACCATTGAGGCTTATGTGTACTTTGTGCGACAGGATGAGGGGGGGTGTTTCCTGATGGGTGAGGTTTATTTGACGGCAGGTTTGATGCTCATGTATTGTCTGATTTAGTGGACAAAATGTGGGTGTAATTGACTCATTTGTAGATTTCAATTCATCTGTCCAGAAAAAGAAAAACGGAAAAAAATTAGCCTTGCAAAGGTCCTGACATGTTCAACTTTGTTTCACCACTCTGCAGTAATGGGGAGTTGAGGAAAATCGGCAAGGCGTAAAATGTGTATTTCATCATCTCTTAAAATCCATGTTGCTGTGATTTGTTTATTTGACTCGTCTGTTCACCGTTGTCTGTGTTATTGGGGCTTGATTCATTGCTACCGTTTGGCTGAATTGGGCATTGGACCAATTTCTTCGTCAAACTCCCAAAAGATTTATTGGTTAGCAATTACTGGTATAGCCAGAACATTTCAGAAATATGTGCATATTAACTCCCCTATCCCTGCCTGTTTTGTTGCCCTCGAGAATTCTCAAAAAATTAAAATTCAGCATTGATCAGCGAGCACGTGGCACATTTTTTGAGCACCCACTCACGCTATCAAAGGACACACTTCCATAGCTGGCTCTACCTTCCTCGAACCAGCAAAATCCTCACAAATAACCGGACGTTTGATTTTGTTCAAAAAGATCTGCAAGGGGCAAGGGGTAACTCTGCACAGTCATTCGTCTTGTTTTCAGGTTAGCGGGAGTGTTTAGTGTTAAACCCCAGGGTAACCATCTCTGGAGTATCCCCTCCCCCCAGGCAAATTGTCAGACAGCTGCCCCTGCTGCTGCAATGCGAGCCCACCCTTGGGCAACCTCAACTTGGTCGTGACACTGAATATTTGATTCGTGGATTGGAATCCACATTGGCTCAATTAACCGTTGCATTCACAGACGCCAATTCCCCATATTGTGGGCTTGAACGAGAGCATGCGGTTTGAACATACATGTAGATTGTGGAAAGAACTACAACGTGCAGAGTAGGCCATCAGACTAAATCAGGTGTGAGATTTGTCAGGATTTTCTTGATTTTAGGATTTTTTTATACTGATTTTCCTGGTTTTGGGAAATTTGCAGATCCCTCCAAAATCTGGAAGATCCCAAGTTTACCATTAAAATGTGGTCATGTACAAAAGTTTATATAGAACACAGTAATGGGTATACATACAGTGTAATATGTAAGGAGTGCCTTTAGGCAAACACAAATGTATTGCAGACCCTATGCTGCTAGTGAAGGCCCTCAAAGCCACCGATCAGTTTTGTAGATATTTCGTATCTCACCCCTGATTGGACCAAATGCCCCCGTCTCAACAGAGACTCTAACCCACCTGTATTAGCCAGGGAGATACCATTACTGCAGCAGCACCACGCTCACGCGTGCTTTCATACTTTTTGAGGCAGTCTCACGTCGTGACCAGTCCACAGCACTCACTGGCAGAGGTATACCGCCTGTGCCATGAGCATGGTTCCAACGCAGTGATGGCTGTTAATTCTTCAACAGACTAGTCTTTACCCCTCCATACTCAATTTATCAAGTGCGCGTTTTCTACTGTGCAATGGCCTATTCTAATGTATTCATCATGTGCTCTCAAACTATTACATATAAAGCGGAGGAGTCTTTCAGACGCGCACCTTAAAAAACGCCGCTTGAATTCAATTTGGGTGTAACCGCTACGCTGAAGCAGTGTCTTCTTATACTCAATCCAATTTGTGTTGCTGTGGGTGCGAACGGTCTGCTAAACCTCTTCAGAGGGAGGGTCCCGTGCTAAACCAGACACAGTTTAACGTCCTAACATCTGCTGAAATGTGAAGTCAGCTGAACCCAACAGGATGCCGGCAGCTAGTATAAGAAAGCTCTTGTTCAGCACCAGCAAACTCCAATCTTGATGGATTCACCAGTATCAACATTGGTTGAATTTTTTTCTGCCTGCAAGATCATAAAATTAAAAAAAGGTGTCCACTCTATGCATTGGTAAGGAAAAGTTGCTTGCCAAAACTGATGCAGATTTTATTGGTACATGTTTGTCTTTATTATAATGGCTTCCTTTGCCTGAGTTTGCATTTTCTGTATTTTGTCTGGGGAACAGTTTACATCCATATCACTATTTGTATATATATATCACTGGAATAGGTCAAGGGAAAAACCACAGCCAATCATGTTAATGGAGTCACGATTTCTCAAATTACTCAACGCCATCAGTTTCACTGAAATTAGATTCATTCTCTTGAACAACAGAGGAAATGGAACCTATTTCCTATTTTTTTTCCTCCACGTATGGTATTGCTTAGGCCTTTCCATCTTTCAGCATGGTTTGTTGTATATGTGCTCAACATTCAAATTGGTCAACTAAAAAAAAACTGTTGGTGTACTTTTCTGTCTGAAACAAGCTTACATCTAGTCTGATTGGATCCTGGCC